ACACACACACACACACACACACACACACACACACACACACACACACACACCCACGCACGCACGCGCGCGCACGATAGTAATTAGTAGATCTAGTGAAGCGAGTAAAATTAGGAAATGTGAAATGGAAGTAATTCGTGATTAATCAAGAAACATTTTGTCGTAATTTGCTATACAGTGTCGTGGATCCAGAAGAGAGTATCGAGCCACTACTAGGGCTGGGTGACAGGTTGCAGAAACAGAAGGACCTCGATTCGTAAGTGATACTGTTTGATAGCAAACTGATGGCGCGAAACTGTGCCGTACATAAACCACATTGCTCTCTCATCTGCATTGACACAATGATGCAATGGAGCGTTTTTGATTATTTCAGCTTAATTCTCAGCTCATAACCCTCTAAATATTTACTCGATCCATTTATACGCCGTAGTATATTGCCGAATACTCTCGCAAGGCTGAATAAGTTCACTCAACGAGAACTCTCATATATAATTAATCTCTCTGGGGTACATTGCAGATTGGATATCGCCTGTAGTAAGCAGCGGGACATCGTACTGGAGGAGCAGCGAACCCAGGCTGTGCTAGATGCGACTAACATAATGGTGAGTAAAAGTCTGTAAGACATTCTCTCACGCTATCCCCCGATCGCAGCGTCTTCTCTCACTTGAAGCTAACAAATCTCGGACGTAAATACGCGCCTTATGAAGCGTGTTGATATCTGCCTGGATTCTCGTTCCCCTTCTGCGTGAAGCGCTAATGCCCTAACGAACACACCTAACGAACACTTCAACCCATTCACAAGCGAAACGCTACCGTAGAGGAAAGGTGATGTATATATAGATGTGGCTGACATTTTTTTTCGCAGATTGGAAACATGCAAGCACGCGGGGAGGTATCGCCTAGCGTAGCCGCCAGGTGTATGGCAGCGTTTCAGGAGTACTGGCAGCTAAGTCAGGATAGGTTGAGAGCGCAGCATCAGCAACAGATGAGTGCCACGCTCGTTGACAACAACCGCAGCAGCAAGGTTGGCGCTATTTTGCACACACACACACGCAAGTACGCACGCGCACGCGCACGCACACGCGCACGCACACGCGCACGCACACGCACACGCACGCGCACGCGCACGCGCACGCACACGCACACGCACACGCACACGCACACGCACACGCACACGCACACGCACACGCACAC